TGAATGGTCTGTAACATTTATGTGTCGATCTACATGTTCCAAACTTTTCTATATGGAAAAAGGATTTCCTGACATACATATATATAAATGCAATAGCTATAATATAGAGAATTTCTGTCTCACCCCTTTGAGGTTGTAACATCAGCTCGTGACCATATTTTTTTTTACATTTTAGTTTCATACCATGATCTTGCAGATTTGGAAATGAAATTATATCCCTCATCAAAAGCTACAAATCTTAACATTTAAAGTTAAACTCAATATATATTAATATACACATTTATGAGTATACTGGAGGCTACAGAATTTATTTAGTAATGAAGGTCTCCAGAGTGTTGATACTACACATAAATGTAAAAATAAAAATGCACTTTAGATCTCTTGCTTAATTTTTTTGTTACATATATTAATCTGCCAAATGCATGTACATGAAATGTTATAATTGAAAATGAAAGTAGAAATAAACTTTAAAAAAATTAGTTACTGTGTTAATCAGCTGTTATTTCCATTTGGTATCATTTCACCTAATTGTTTAACCATCTTCTTTTTCCATTATAATCATAGATATAACCCTTTTACATTTTTCACACATTGGCTTACATACAGACCGTTATAGCACTAACGGTTTACCATGAGCCCTAAGCAGATATATAAATGTCAGCATGTCACGCGTAATAAAATAAATATATATTCTGATCATTTGTAGACACTTCTTTCTTGTGTGTATATAAGCTAGTAAAACAACAACAGCTACATAAAAATACCATAGATTAAACTAGTGCTAATTGTAACGGGGACCGTTACAGATGTTCCCCAAACGCTCCCCAACTCCCTTTTGGTGTCATATTCCCTGTAAGCTTCATTAAATAAGACAAACTCTATGCATCTGAGATTTTGACAACATTAACAAAGAAGTGTACAAAAATCATTTAAACTTTAGCATTGCACGCGTGCACATGTGAATGCATTTGCGTCATGACCATATCATCTTGTCTACACAATCTATATTTTTAATACACTGAATATTAAAGTATTTAATCCAAAATTATTTAAAAAATACGCCCATTCAAGTGTATGTTTGATTTTACTCATTTCACGTGCACGCACGTGCATACATGAGCATGGTGACCATACCTTCTTGTAGAAGTCCATTACATCTATCTATGTTCTAAATTCCACCCCGTTTGGGTGAAAACTAAGGGAGTTATAGCTGTTTAAAGTTTCAGCCAATCAGATTGCAGCACATGTACACGCAGTTGTATGCATGTGCATGGTTACCATACCTACTTGTAGAAGTCCATTATATCTATCTATGTTCCAAATCCCATCCTTTTTGGTTGAAAACCAAGGGAGTTATAGCTATTTAAAGTTTCAGCCAATCAGATTGCAGCGCACGTGCATGCACGTGTTTTCATGATAATTGCTTTATTTCATGTTGTAGGATATCCTAATGCATGGCTATGTTCAAAATTTCAAAGTATTTCGTCAAAAAACAAGAAAGATATTGAGACTTTAGTTGCAGCCAATCAGAGCGAAGTGCACGTGCATGCGCGTGAGATCTTGCTATTTTCACCATGTCGTCATGTCTATACTACTAATATATCCTCACATTATGAGTTTCAAAGCGTTTCATCTAAAAATAGAACAGTTGTGGCTATATCTATTATATTGGTCATTTCACGTGTTGCACGTGCACGCTCTTGCAAGCACGTGCGCGCAAAATGACCTTGATTCCGCAAATCTACATAACATGTCTACTAACCCTAAAAAGGTTTTACCTACATCGGACGAACAGTTTACAAGATCATTCCCGGACAAAAAAGTTCCAGGAAGAAGAAGAAGAAAAATAATAATAATAAGAAACAGAGTAAAAACAATATGTTCCCCAACTTCGTTTGGGGAACATAATAAACAACTTACCGTCTTACCTTTTTAAACACTGGCGAGCTTGCATCATCATGTCAACATCCATTATCCACAAGTTGTACTTCGTTAGATTCGGACTATTTTCTCGCAGTTTATTATTAAATTTTGTAAATGCTGTTAAAATATATTTTATTTCGAAGTAAAGGTTATTTTATCAATAAAAGCAATTTAAATGAATTCCTTTAATTTTTAAAGATTTTTTGTAAATTTATTCTGCAAAGGACGACTACTCCCTTCGAAAACTGGTTCCCGGCCCCGTAACCTAGACGTTAATGGACGAGTTTACCATGTTAAATCTCCGTAGACTTTGAATTTGCCGCCGTGTGTATACACTGGTTGACCTCGAGGGTTCGGATAAACGGAGGAAGGTTGGAAAAAAAATGATCTATTAATCGTAACTGGTTTAAATGCCAAGGTATTTATATATTTTGAGATATTATGCGAAAAGTGCTTACAGTAACATGGTGGGACAGACTATAGTAACGTGGCCATGTCTAAACTCGACTCTAATCTATGCTATATCAGAGGTTCATCCACTCCAGAGGAACGACAGACAGCTGAGCCCTACAAAATGTGGCTATTGGTACAAGAGAATGGAACAATTGTCTCTGGAGAGTGCACATGTGTTGCGTATGTACTAGATCTATTATACAATAATTCGTCGCGGACGTTTGAGAAAACATTGGATTGAAATTATAATTCTAGGTTGTGACATGATATCAGTGTTTTTCTTAAATGTTGGCTGCTCTATAAGCATTTTATATTTATACAGATCAGAATTTTCTATCCAATGTTTTTAAAAGAAAAAATTATCAGATTGCGGAAATAACTAACTGTTCTCCAGAAGAAAAGCTGTAATGATTTTTTAAAAAGTATAATATATTTTTTAAAGCATTCAACGATTCGCAAAATTAAAATTCTGCATGAATCAATGGTATTTTTTTTAAACGATAGCAAAGGTATCAAAGCATGAATAAAGATGCCAAATTTTGACTTCATAATATAAATAGCAGTACCATAATTTTTTTTGTAGTGGTGATGGTACATGTAAGCATATTGCTGCTTTGCTGTTTGGACTTCAACAATTTTGCCTAGGACTGAATGATCGAACAGAGATTGGTGTCACTGATAAAAAGGCTAAGTGGACAAATCCTGTGAGGTCAACAAGACCAGTAAAAATTACTGACCTTGATCTAAGACAGCAACCAAACAACCAACCTCAGCCCATGGCATGTGATGAAGAATACACACCTGTTACTAATGAACAATTAAACAATCGAACTGAAAAAGATATATACAAACTTTTAAAAGCAGAAAAATTGGCTGCATGTGCAGCATATACCCTATCTGATAGTTCTGATTCTGAGTATGAATTTGAAGAAAGTGTGTGTGAGAATGTGACTGAATTTGCTCAAAATTTTTATGTGATGAATCCAAATGCTTCCTTTGAAGAATTTGTTGATGGTCTTAGAGTTTATTTTGACAGAAATCTTGCAGTCAAAATTTCAAAATGTACAGTTGGTCAAAACTCATCAGATGTATGGCATCATCAAAGAGCAGGTCGCATTACTGCATCATCTGTGTTTAACTGCCTGCATTTCAGTGGTCGGAATGAAAATGGTAGCCTTGTTACACAAATTCTTTGTAAAAAATATGCTACTTCAGAATCTAATTGTATTCCTGCACTTGTACATGGTAGGAAATATGAAGCAAAAGCTAGAGATATGTATTTGGAGTTAAATGGGAAAATTCACACTAATCTAAGATATTCCAGTGCAGGCCTGATAATCGATGATGAGCTTCCTTTCATTGGTGCCTCACCAGATGGTTTACTAGAGTGTGATTGTTGTTTACCGGGGTGCCTCGAAATTAAATGTCCATACAAGTATAAAGATAAAAATCCAAAGGAGGCAGCAGCATGTGATTTAAAAAATTTTGAACTAAGAAATGGATTTCCTGTTTTAAGGAAAAACAGTAACTCACCATATTATTGTCAAATGATGTGTCAAATGGCTGTTACAAAACGTACCTATTGTGATTTTATTTTGTACACACACTCAGGAATTTTTTCTGAAAGAGTGTTCTTCAATGGACAAATATGGGAATGTATGAAAGAAAAAATTGTCAAGTTTTATAAGACATTTATATTTCCAAAAATCATCATCAACTGAATTTATTATTATGCAATTTATATTTAAAAAATTAAAGAAATTGTTCGAAACATATCCAAATCAGTCATTTTTTTTCCTACATGCTTTGAATATTGCAGACTTAGTGCAGCATTACGGAACACTGATAAAAAAGATTTGTCCTTCATATAAACTTTTAATCAGTAAATCTGTAATAATAGATATGTCAATATAACAGTACATAACAGATAACACTAACATAAAACTTCCTTCATTCAAAACAGTGAACTAAATAAATATCAAATAAATAATGTGAAAGAATGAACTTTTGGCACAAAATTTAAGTTGTTGCACTTGTAATGTTATAGCACTTGCAAACAATAATCATGGTATTTTATTTACTTAGTTAGAAAATCTTATTTTTTCTGAACTTTGCTGACAAGGGGAGCCATAAAATTACAAAAAATACCCGCTACTTGTAAGGCTTGATTTGCAACAGACAATGATTTTATGTACATAATACCATCAAAGAATTTGTAACTTTTCAGTCTCTGAATTGCACGCTCCACATGAATGCGCAATGAGGCAATGTTTTTCGACTCCTTAATTTGTTTAGATGTCAAGTATTTGCCTTTTCCATACTGACATGGCCGACAAAATGGTGGCATATTCAGCTGGGCTCCCCTTTGAAGAAGGAGGTCATTAATTAGAAATCCGCGATCTGCCATAACATGATCACCTCGCTGAATAAGATCTAGAAATCCACTTCTCAGAGTAATGCTGCGATCTGAAATGTTTCCAGACCATAATTCAGATATGAATGTAAAGGCCCCATTTGGTGAAATCCCAACCAGTGCTTTGAAAGTGTTCTTGTTTTTGTAATTTGACCAAGTTCTGCTCTGAGCTGAAGGATTCCTCGGACGTTGAACAAAGATCTCTGTTGCATCAATTATGACTCTTGTGTTTGGGTATTTTAAACGGAAGGAAAGAGGCATATGCTTTTTTATTTTTTGCCTTGATGGCCACTTAAGTAATGGTTTTAATTGCTGATCTAGGAAACACATCCATGTGGTGAATATGGAAGAAACTGTGGACTGAGACACACCAAACAAAACTGAACAGAACATGGTGTTCAGGCCTAAACGCAGACGAAGTAGTGCCAAAATGAATTCTTCAAATAACTGCAGTTTTCTTTGTTTACCAGGTCTCCTTAAATTTTCTGAGTGCCACTTTTTTTCATGACTTGATGATCTACGAGTCCAATACTTCATACTGGAAGCTGCGCCATTCAATATGTCGAACAAACCCTTTAAAAACAGAAGAGAAGGCAGCCCAAGAAAAAGTCTTACATGGTTGTCACACTTCGTTAGTTTATCTATTAAAATCTCTCGGAAAAGTTTGTCTTTGTTTTGAAGTTTGGATTCAACTTCCTTTCTTTGTCTTTCACTTTCATTTAACTGATTTTTCAGTTGTGTGTTTTCCTCTTGAAAAGCCACTACCCTCTCCTCAAGTTGTTCACAATGAACCTACAAAGTTAAGCACACATTAAATTTTTTTTAAACAAACATTAAAAACAATAGAGAATACGTATTTGCTCAAACACCCTGTACATGTATTTATGTGACATAACATGAAATAATTTTAAAAAAAAACAATTGCTCTGCTGTAAAAATACCTTCAGATGCCTATTTTCATGTTCCAAATTTGTTATTTGGGTATCAGCATCTGCCCAGTCTGTGTCACTAAGATGAGATGAACCTGACACAGGACTCGCTACATATGGGTGGTCATGTTGCATGATACCAGGTAGGGAATATGGTGTATCAGTTGTAATTGGAACTGTGAAAGAAAAATACATATACAAAAGCATATTTTTATGCATATGAAAATATACTGGTTATGATCTTTTTGGATATATTTGTTATTATTGATTATGCAAGTTTCTTTAATCCAGACATTTCTGATAATAGAAAAAAAAACATAGATAAATGACAAACTTTTTAAACAAAATCAAAGAAGTGTTATGTTTTTAGTTATTTTTAAGAAAACTGTGTCTTCCAACCTTTTCCTCCTTCCTTGTCAGGAATAATGATTTCATGCTGTATGCCTTGATATAACTCTGCCACTGGTACTGGCTGGACAAATACACTAGTCTGTGAAGTCCTTTGTTTTTTTCCTTCAGAGTGACTTTCATTTCTGCACGTAAAATGTTTGATTAACAGTTTTTATTACAACATAATTCATGCTATATAAAAAGATATTTGTGTGTGTGTGTTTCTGAATGAAATTTAGATATTGATTATTCATGCAAATTATATTGAATATATTCTTTACGCAAGAAATTAATATGTACTCTTGTTTCCTGTCACCCGAGCTACCCTAATATTTTACCCTGCAACCCTAACTTTTTTTTATATTCATTGGGGGGAGGGGGGGCTATTTTCCTGAAATACTAAAGTCACCCGGCCAACAATATTAACAGAGCTAATACATCTAAAGTGCACAGGATACCTTTATTTTATAAATCTTTATTAATAAACCTGCTCTGTAAAGTGTAAACATACTGTTTTCTTGTTATTACATGATACATATTCTCCATCCATTGAGCTATGAAATTAATTTTTTCCCTACCTACCTACCCTATTTCTTTTTTGGTCAGGGAACAGGAAACAAGGATATATATTTTCGTTTGGCCTAATAATCTGATAATAGAAATATGGGTATCACATTTTTATGTAAAATTATCATTGATCGAGAAGCTAAAATACAAACCCCTGGGAAGATGAAGTACTGTTGTATTTTGAAGTCAATGTTTTCCTCTTTCCTTGACCCTGGGCCTGGTCATGCATGTAGTTATTATATTCAAATAAAGTTGGTATTGGGTTAGTGTCAGTGGGTCTTCCATCTACAAAATGTCTGGAGCATACTGCGTGCCAATGATCTGTGTTACTAGGTTTGAAATTTTTACGACGTACCGCATTTATCCACTGGCGCCGAAGTTTTGGATTTTTAGTTGCGGAAGGCAATACATAAAAATTGACAACATTTCCATTTTTATCTACCATATGCGGGTATTTACTGAGTCTGTTAGATTTCCTGGAGTCATTGTTACATCCCACGGCAATACAATGGTAATTTACCATGGTTATTTGCAGGTAAGACGCGGTTATTTGACATCATAAGACATGACAAGTTCTGCAGCGCGTCCTTGTTTACAAAATGTTGCCCAAGTTCACGCCAAAAACGAGATCTCGTTAGACACACTAAATATTAAAACCGCGACGGAATTAAAGACGAAATAATAGTTCCGATGTTGGCTATTGTTATAGAAGAAGACAACAGAGAACCATGTCTTTTTACAACAACTTCCTTTCTTGTTACTTGTCAATGATTTTCAGAAATTTATGAAATTTTAGGACTGTCATATTATTTAATGGGTCTGGGAAAACTAATATTTCAAAATTAAACCGGCAGTTTTATCAACTGGACAGTGTAAACATAACCTGTGAGATGCAAGCAAAGCGAAATTTTATAAATATCATTACAAAAATATACATGTACATGACTTATTAATTTAACATACAAGTTTATTTGCAAAGAATCATTTTCATAACTTGCTTCACTTGCAAAGCTCACAGGTTATGTTTATACGCTGGTTTATTGAGAAAACTGCAGACTCCTGTGGATTTACTAATATTCTGCATGTTCTCATTTATACTTTATGAGCAATTTGAAAATGTTGATCAAAAGTTTAAGGCATTTGATGTGTGTATATATGATGTAAAAATAGAAGCTGAATGATGTGTACATGTACATGTATATCAAATGATATTTTTCATTTCACATTATGATAAAAAGCAAGACAAGAAAGATATATTGACAATTTGACATACATTAGTTTACGTTTACTTATTTAAATCAAAGAAAAATTTCTGAAAACAATTGTAAGGTAGACAAACATGATCGAGAGCATGATTATGCTGACTATTCAGAGTTGTTCCTCTTTCCTTACTTTTAATAAAATCTTTATGGAATGATGTTTAAAATAAATGGAAATGCTCACAGTTAAAAATCATGGATTTTGTATCATTCATATATTTAAAATGTAAAGGTAATCATGAAAGAGGTAAAGATTATACAAACTGTGATTGTCTCAAACTTACAAAAAATATAATTCTGTTAACAGAGCATAAACCATGGACCCCTGGAAATTCCGAAGGTGGGTTCAGCTCCAGGAGGATCCCCTGTCAATCAGTCCCACCAATCATGACCCCTGATTTATTGATCAGGTATACAGAGTATTCCTAAGTTAAAGTCAGTACAAAGTCAAAGATACAACAGTTGTATAACTGGAATGTAATTTGTTAGTCAAAATAAGACCCTGTGCCACTCACAGCAAGTTATATTCCCTAACAAGATCATAATAATGATGAAAAAATTAAAGAAAAGGCTTAAGCTGACTTTAAACAAGATTGTTGAAATTCCTGTGATATCAACTTATCTGTCAGTAACTTGTCTTTTTTTTGGAAATGAATGTACTCGGATGATGCTCGTGAGTATCAAATAAATTTGTAGACAATGTAATGCTATATGCAGGTGATAGTAGAATATTTCCGCGAAAATAAGGACAGTTATGCTGATGATGGAACAGCTGAATTATCTGATTGTTTATACTATTTTAGTTGTTAGCTGGGCTATGAGACAGAGCAATTATGGATCTTTGGAAATACAAGAAGTGGGCCCATTAAAGAGTAAGCATTCCATGTAAAAAATGTATTTCATTTGCATGTATTGTACACTCATCATTTTTGGACCATATTTAAGCTATAATGGTTGAAGACCAGAAAAGTTTATGTGATAGTAAGGTATCCATTGTCCATCTGTCTGTCAATTAACAATTTTTCAAAACGCTACTCCTCCTACAGTTTTGGTCTGATTTCATTATAATTTGACACTCAACTAGACTACACTAAGATACATAATTCTGTATATTGATTTTTGAATTCAGTGAACGATGTTGCCATGGCTACTAAAAATTAATTCTTTACATTGGTTTTTGATTTCAATGAACAGTGTTGCCATGGTTACTAAAAATAGAAATTTCTTTGAAATATTTTTAAAATTCTACCCCTCCCACTGCAATAATTCATGCCAAGAAAAAGACTAAACCAATGACATTTTTAAAAAAAATTACAGCAAAACTCGTTTAGTACGAACACGGATATAGCGAATTTACGGTTATAGCGAAGTTATTTTGGATCCCCGACTATATAAATTTAACGTATTCCTTATATGGATATAACGAATTACGGATATAGAGAAGTAAATTCATAGGTCCCTATGACTTCGTTATAACCGAGTTTTACTGTATTGCTTTTTCAAGTTCAAATGCTACTTTTCTCTTCCTTTATTTTAAGTATAAACCAGTGGAACTACAGTCTCGTCAGAGACTTCTGGTTTTTTTTAAAGAACAAAAAATATTAAAAGTATTAATTTATAAACAATCAATTGTTTGAATACACTGTTTTATTTTTTAGAATGAAAGAAGTGCACCTAAAAAGGATATCTGTATGCTGCATAGTGCAGTGTAACTAATCCCCACCAGCAGTATGCTTCTGCAAGGTTTTGGGTAGATCTTTTATCATGAGTCACAGACATGAGAGATGAATGGGGTAACTGTTCACATGCTGTTTTAAAGGTGCTCTATAACCAGAAAAAAAGTCTAGACCACACAAACTCTGTTCTGAAATCTTGCTTGATTGAGAAATACAATCATCACCATATTCAGGTGTTTATTGTCTTTTGAACTCATTGACATGCTTTATCTATTTGTGAAATGTGACAAAAAGTCTAACTGCATGGTCATTATGTGATTTTTCTATGTTCAAATATTTACTTTATACAGCAATATAAATAAACTTTTTTTTTACATTGCAGTATAAATATAAAGTAAATATTTGACAATGTATGGTCATTTTATATTTTTAATCAAACAGATGTAGAACTATATAATTGGACTGTTTTTGGACAAACATGAATATGACACAAAAATGACATACAGAGTACTGTAAATCACTTTTTTATTCGTGAGGACTTTATTTTCGCGTAATTACGCGAGACAATGCGTTCGCGAAAATTTAATTCTCGCGTATAAAAGTATTTCCTTACGATTATATTGAGGAATAACAACTATTCGTGAAAATTATGTCTCGCTTACAAAGAGTCAATGACAATCTTGCGAAAATAAGGTGTCGCGATTATTTAGTGATCTACAGTGCTTCAATATTGTCATTACCACTTGCAAAATTAATGAATTTTTTCCATCTATTTGAAATGTTTGTTTGTTATAAGGTTTAAATAATGTAAATTGTGGAGAGAAAATCAAATTCTATTTGAATTATTATTACAGGTATAACTTTGCTGTAGGTAAATGAGATAACAGGTAACCTGGACGAGTTTAAATGATACTGATAAAAGAGAGGGGATGTTCCACTGTAGATCCTATCACTGCCTCCGATCCAAAAGACAGATTGGTGCTAAAACAAATTAAGTCTAACGCCTTGTATAATTCAAGACTGTGCTTGCATAATTCATTGCCCAAGTGAATGGTTCCATATGGAACACTTGCTTATCCCAATGTATTGTTCACCATTATGCGTAATGACAACACGTAATTTAATCTCAGCACACATAGATTAAGGTGGAAATCTGTTCCATTCAGTTCAATCAGCAGTGCTGACCCATGAAAATTTGACAATAAAGCAGAAAATGTCTTGATAGACATGAATAAACAAATATTTGATCTTGTTTCATTGTGAAGTTTTTAAATAGCTATAGTCTAATTAATAAGCAGGTGTATTGTTGAACTAGAGGAAATAACATATAGCTCTGAATGGGAGATTTGAATTACTTAAGTAATAGTTTTGCTTTGAATATTTCCTTGTTTTGTTGATTGTGATATGTTTATTTTTTTTAATTTCTATTTTTTTGTGTAGTGTAGACTTTTCTTTGCACAGACAAGCATTTTGGTGACTTAGGAAAGTGTTCATTGGTGGAGAAAGATGATCAAC